GCTTTGTTTTGTTTGAGATCATTCAGTAATTTGCAGTGTCATATTTCACAAAGGTATGTGGTCATTGCAAGTTTTTAAAAAAAATTTCTTCCAACTTAGATATGTCTCAGGTCTGTCTTTCTTACCTTTTATATGATGAATATAAAAATTCACCATATAAGTATCATCAGCAAATAATTTATTTCCATAATGAAAGTCCACTCCCTCTTTAAGAATCTTACTCTGTAAGCAGCAATATGTTAAACCACCATCTGGCGGTTGAGTTCAACTGAGCTTAAATTAAGCTGGTGCACAATCATTAAACATCTGTGAAAGAATGAGTTTCTAAAACATGTCATTGAGAGTTTTTTTTTTTTAAATCACCTCTGGAAGATGAAAAAGAAATGAGAGAGAAAGAGGAATATTCTCATTTATTTAGGTGATTTAATCTCCAACTATCACCAAGGCCGAAGGCCTTCCTATACTGCTTTTACATCACAGTGATATGCCAAGGTCTATAGTTACCTGCATTGCTTGATCTATTGTATATAGAACATGGTTGAAGTTGCCTCCTATGATGACTTTCTAGCTGAGGAGGTTACTCAAAAGGGACAATCATTTATGAAAGAAGTATGTGTCATTGTGGTTGGGGCCTATATAAATTAGCAATTGTTTATAGATTGTTATGAATATCAGTATTAAAGATGATACAATGTCCTTCTGGATCTGAAATTGTTGTATAGTGAGTGAACAGAATGTTGTAGTTAATCAAGATGGCCACTCCTCTTTGCCTTGAGTTATAATTAGCCAGCAAGATGTCGGGGGATTGGGATAATTTTAAAACTGCGCTTCCTGAGTGGGCAAATAGTTTCTTATAATAAATATCTACAGTATCTGTTTGCATCTTGATGAGGTGGTCCCTAACTTTAATCTTTTTTGCCTGACTGCCAATGCCACAAATGTTCTAGCTGACAAACGTGGTTGCTGCTGTTTATGTATAATCACTAATGTTCATGAATGTAGTGAGAGTGGTGTCAGTGTGTGTATATGCTGTGTGTTATCTTTATTATTTTTCTTATTTAACCTTTATTTTTCCAGGGAGTCCCATTGAGAAGGATGACACGGCTAAGATGACATCCATATTTACAACATATTAAAATTCAACACAATACAGTACAATATACAAAATTGTGCACTTGTACACATATGTCGTTATCTTGTGAAAAAAAAAACTTGGATTTGCGATTAAATTCACAATTCTCTTTGAATTGCATGAACCTGCTTGAAAAGTGTTATGCAAATAAAGCTCAAGCGATTTGTGCCCCACCCTCACAGGCTCCAGATGTTGGAGGCCATCTGTAAGCACTGGGAAGGCCCAATCAGCTTAGCCCTCTACCTGTCCGATGCTGAAGCCCAGCAGTTTCTGCGCTATGCTCAGGGCTCCGAGGTGCTGATGAGCCGCGGGAACGTAGGTTATCACATTGTCTACAAAGAGGGACAGTTCTACCCAGTCAACCTCCTACGTAATGTGGCCATGCAGCAGGTCAACACACCCTACATGTTCCTATCAGACATTGACTTCCTGCCCATGTATGGCCTCTATGAGTATCTCAGGTAAGAGAAGATGGTGAATCAGATGAAAAGCAGCCATGCTGGTAGTGTCAGCTGGCACCCTGGTAACATTTTGTGTCTGTAGGGTTTTTAAAAACTGCCTGTTTTTGTTGTTGCTTGTGTGCTGTTAATTCTTAAAGATTGTTTTCCAAGATGCTGCTTGTTTTGTAATAATTTTCTGTAGAAATATGCTGAAAACATAGCTTAACGTGGAGAGGTGCTGAACAGCCCAGCAGCACTGACAAGGTCCCCCCTTAGAAGTTTTTGGCAAGCTATGTCCTTTCAACCAATCATACAAAGCCAAAGTCACTCGATACATGAATGTACTTCTGCTCCACTACTTGGCTCACACCAATGCCTCAAGCTACTATTAGCTGCTGGAAGACATCACTGTAGCGTACTAGCAAGCTTTGCAGGAGGGAGGGTTGGGAGGAGCAGAGTGGTTTGCACTTAAATCTCTCGCCATTGTAAAATTGATTTCCAGAATTTGCATATTGTAGCTTTAAGAAATAACTTGATGTACTTCTGTGTGTTTATAGGAAATCAGTGGTGCAGCTAGACATGGCCAACACTAAGAAAGCTCTGGTGGTTCCAGCCTTTGAGACACTGCGATATCGCCTGTCCTACCCAAAGTCTAAGGCTGAGCTACTTTCTCAGCTGGACATGGGTACACTTTTTACCTTCAGGTGAACCTTTTCTCTGTTTCTGTAGCCAGCAATGTTTGAGTCTTCTGGTTTTCATTCAGCAAAACTCTACTGCAACTTTTCAGTTCCCCATCCAAGGTAGAGGTTAGGTAAATCATTCCTATTGATTCATCTGTTGTTTCACTCTTTAGTAAATCCTCAAGACCATAATGAGAGAGACTCACTTAGACTTGAGCTGAGCCAGATAAAGCACAAATCAAATTGAAGTAGCAACTAAAATTACAAAAAGTGACATTAGGATGTCAAGGTGAAATGTTGGAATGCTACTGAAAAATTTAATATGAAAAATAGACAACTTTGAACAGTTGCTGAGTGACATTGACAGTAAAACGTCTCTCCAGTCTCTGGCAAACACCAAGCGGGATATTTACTAAGGGTTGTGGTTCATTTTTTGGCACTAAACAGTGAAATTGCATGTGTTCATATTTACTAAGGAGTCACAGTGGGGTTTTGCAGCAGAGAAACAGAAGAAATGTGGCACCAGAGGAATTTGTTCATCTGGTCTCACGCAACTGCCAAACAATTCACCAACAGAACTGAAATTTAGAGTTGGTTTGGTATATGGGCTCTTCTCTTCTAGGTTACGACTACAGGAGCAAATGACAGAAAGCTAACATGGTTCATATAAAGACAACGATGTATTAGCCAGTGATGTAGGCTCCTCCACATTGACAACGGCTCACTGGCCAGACACTGATTTTTCAACCTTACAGAGTAGCTCCATTTTGCTACTCTGATTTCCTTTGTCAGTATGTTTTTAACCTGGTTATACAGAGTCCTGTCCCCACTCCCGTAGGCCTCCTCTTTGGCATGACAGAGCTGTTTGAGTTTCACTGTGAACCAAGATTTATTGTTATTGTATGTGCAGAGAGTCTTAATGGGCACACATCCTCACAGAAGCTGATATATGATGTCACCATGTCAGTATACTCATCCAAGTCTGTAGCTGCAGCCTCAAAAACACTCCAGTCTGTACAGTCAAAGCAGGCCTATAGCTCTGGCTTTGCCTCTTCAGCCCATCTTTTCACCGTTTTGACTACAGGCTTTGCAGCTTTAAGTTTCTGCCTGTAGGGTCCAGTTCTTGTTACCATGCTAACTCTGAGAGACGAGACAGTCCAAGTAACTTCAAAACAGTGCTGATTTATTCAAAGGATCACAGGTAAAATTAACATTACACGCTCAGGTATCTTGCACCTCCAACCTGCACGCAGGCAGATGTAAGTGTGTGTGTCTGTTGGTTAAGTGGTGTGTAGCTAAAAACATTCTCACACGACCTCTAGTAACATGTCGTGTCTTAAACATAAGAACATATTATGGCTAAGGCTACAGTTATACACGTCATAATAATAATATTAAACACCCTGTCTGCTGACAGTCATCAACTCTTCTCTCTAGTTATCCTTGACCAGATGTACCCTGTAGAAACTCATAAGCATGACTAAGCATTTAACAGTCTAACTAGACATCCTATCTCCACTAAACATTTCTAATACATAAAGTATCTATCCAATATCTATCTGACTAAAAATACCTAACATGCCTATAAGTGGGAATGAGGTGGACCATGCAGTGGTCTGAAACCCCAGTGACTGCACGGGGAACAGAGCAATAAGTGTCCTTAATTACGGTATAGCAATGGTCCAGTGTGTTTTTGTGCCTGGTGGGACAACTGACATGTATATCTGGGCAGTTTGTAAGAAAGGTTTGCTCTGTTAAAACCCCCCAAAATAATGAGCAGGGAATCTGGGTGTTTCTATACTTAATATCCGGTTGGCTAGGAGCTGCAATGCATTTCAGATGCAGGCCTGTGGTGAAATATAAATACCAAACAGCATAAAATAGATAGATAGATAGATAGACAGATAATCCTTTATTGTCATTGTAACATGTACAATGAAATTTTAGAGTGACCTCCAGTTGGTACAGCAATAGAAAAAAAAACATAACATATGAAATAAGACCATATAAAAAAACTTAACTGCTAGAAAAACAAAATAAACAACAGACCTCTCTCTCTAATGTCCCTACACCAACCTCCTTTCTTTTTTCAGGTAATTCCTTCACATGTAGATCTGTAGATCTGAAATCCTGGCAGCTGAACAGCTTCGTCAAGGATCGAGTTGTTAAGCCAGGTCTCCACAAAGCATAACGCCGCAGAATGTGAAAATTCAGAGTTAGTCCAACGAGCACCAGTTTCTCCATTTTGTTACCTAGGGAATGGAGATTTGCTAGATGTATGGCTGGGAGCGACGTTCTGTATGCTCTGCCAGCTAAACTGTACAAATAGCTTCCACTGTCAGTAAAAACTGGAGAAAACATGTCCAGGCGGAGCTGTCGGATATTCAGAAGCTCATGCCTAGTAAAAGTAATCCAGGCAGGGTTGCAGAATACGGACAAAAACGACAGGAACAACAACAACAACAAAAGCACACGGGAACACATGACTGAGGCAGCCCTGGTCGGTGCCATGACAGTCAGCTCAGATGCATGACACAATGTGACCAGCAGCCCCTTTGATTTCTACAAACCCCAATTCCAATGAAGTTGGGTCATTGTGTAAAATGTAAATAAAAACAGAATACAATGACTTGCAAATCCTTTTTGACCCATATTTAATTGAATACACCACAAAGACAAGATATTTAATGAAACTGATAAACTTTATTGTTTTTTGCAAATATCCACTCATTTTGAATTTGATGCCTGCAACACATTCCAAAAGAGCTGGGACAGGGGAAACAGAAGACATTGAGGAATGCTCAAAAAACACCTGTTTGGTAACATTCCACAGGTGAACACGTTTATTGGAAACCATTGAGCACCATGATTGGGCATAAAAGGAGCATCCCAAAAGGCTCAGTCATTCACAATGTAAATTTATACAAATAGCCTCAGCACCTGATTTACCACAAAGGGAGCCATGGCTCATTTATATTGTAACATCAGGAGAAAGCAGGTGTAATATATGTAACACTGCTCTCAACATGAGTTAAGAATATGTATGTTTGAGGAAGGAGAGGGTGTTTGTAAATCACACTGTTCACCAGAGGAGAATGTGAGCAACTTTTACAGCTTTCAGGTGAATCCATGCTTCAATTACTGCACAAAATAAAAGATTATTTGACTGGCAGGAGACTACATCCCAAAATATGTTTGTTGGATTCTTCAGCCATATTAAAGTGCATTCTCTGTAAACTAACTTTTTCCCCTACACTCCCTCTTAGTCCACATATGCACAATGGCACCAGGTTCTAAATGTGATGTGTACTTGAACTACACAGCTGCAGCTGTGCTCAAGTACATCATCAGTGTTGGTAAATACTGTGCATCACTAAATTAAAAAATTGCAGTGCCACAATATTTTGTAAACCTCACGCTGATACTCCTGCATCAAAAATGTGTGTCAATCATTGCTACTCTGTGGAGCAGGTTAGACTCCATCAGAGGAGGTTAAATAACAGTGAATGGTACAACACACCTAATAAGCTTCATGTGATTTGGACTCTGCAGCTCTTTGTCCCCACAAAGGTCCACACTGTCAACACAGCTTGTTATTGTTCAGCTGTTGTTTGCACGGCACTGCATAAACCTCCATTTTAGTTGGGTGGAAGCAGACATGCTGGAGACCAAAACTAGAATTAAAAATGTATATCTTTTGGCGAACTGAATATGATATTTATTATATCCTAGTTGGGCTGGATCAATAACCAGGTTAACTGTGTATCTTAAAACTAGTGATAGCATGGTTGTTGATATTGCTCTCTGTATTACAATGCATGACAGTGCACACACAGAGCCCTCTTACACCACACACTTGATGTGCCTAGAAGATTTTTCTCTGTGGTTGGAGAAAATGCGTTCATTTTTTTTTCATGTGTGCAGCCCTTACAGGTGGTCACGCTTCCTTCAGTCACACTCACTTTGCTTCACCTGCCTAGAATTTTAAGTCGGCAAATGCCTCTTTTATCTTGGTGGTGGGTGTTAGGGTGACGCAAACAGAAAAAAGAGACGACACTCTTTTTCCCATCAAAATTGATTTGGTCTGCAGTGTGAGGTAAACAAATTCTTTAAATGAAATCTAGATTTTCCTTTCTTTTTTCCATGATGCAGACAGGTTTGCAAGTAAAATGCTGCCTGATATTTTAGAAACTGTAAACAATTCTTCCAACAGTAGTTTAGTGAAAACCTTTTTTTCCTCTCCTGCCAGGTATCATGTGTGGACTAAAGGCCATGCGCCGACTAACTTTGCCAAATGGCGGACTGCCACCACGCCCTACAGGGTGCAGTGGGAAGCCGACTTTGAGCCCTATGTCATGGTAAGGAGGGACAGTCCTGAGTACGATCGCCGCTTTGTGGGCTTCGGCTGGAACAAGGTGGCTCACATCATGGAGCTGGATGCACAGGTAACTGGCTCATCTCAGCTGTTTAGGAACATTTATTATATTCATAAAGCAATGAGAATTCAGATGGCCATGAGAGTAGCTCAGTAAAGTGTGTTTTATTTCAGATTTACGTCCTCACATCACGTACATCCAATTTTTTTAAATTAAAAACAATAAATGTAGGAATACAACTTCATCTTCAGCTTAAGGTACTGTATCTGTATTTGATGCTGTTTTAACCTCCATGCCACTAAATATGTTCTTGTTCACACACAGTACATGTGGATACTCTCTGGTCATCTGAGCAATGTTCTAAAATTTTCATCTGTGGACCAAATTTTACTCTGTGAACTTCACAATAGAGAATAGTTTAATTTTAATTACATTTAAATTCTCATTTATTACAACTACTGCTCTTACCAAGTTAAATGCTAAAATCTGTGAGTATGGCGACACAGCTAAAAAGAAGTGAGACGGATCAGAAAGTTTGAATGTCTACTGTATATCATAACTGACTCTAAAATGTCCCAAGATTTCTTACTTACTTCTGAATCTTACATGTCTGTAATAATGTCTGAATGGTAATGGCCCTATAGAAAATGACCTCTAATTATTATAGGCTTTAATTATGAAAGTTTTATTAAGTTGCCTTAGGTCAGATTTGACTTAGGTGCGTTTTTGATGATGACCTATTCAAATAATTGTCATAATGAAGGAGTGCCCTTGGTGGGCACAACACTCAACACACAACATTTCACATTATTTCACATTAAGGAATGACCCTTGTACTACATAGAGATGATCTGACTGGAAAAAGTGGCAAGTTTAGTCTAAAAACAAGTGATTACAGTGTTGTGTTTAGCGTTGACATTAATGTCTGATCAACTGATGCCTCAGGATATGTATGTAGAGGGGCAGGAGAGGGAGTGAAACGTTGATGTGAGCGTTGATGTGAGCCCTCTTGTCCAGTCACTGAACAGCTAAAATAGCCAAATCAATAACATTATTTATAAATAAAGCATAGAAATTGCCACAGATATGTCTCGTGAATCATAGAAACCAAACTCAGGTCACAGTTTACAGTTTTAAGTCAAGTAAATTATTACTATAACATTCCTATAACCTGACAGCCGGGATCTATATGTGGTTCAATTTAGCAACTTACGGTGAGCTGAATATATATATACAATATATATATATACAGTGGTGTGAAAAAGTATTTGCCCCCTTACTGATTTCTTATCTTTTTGCATGTTTGTCACACTGTAATGTTTCAGATCATCAAACAAATTTAAATATTAGTCAACGATAACACAAGTAAACACATCATGCAGTTTTTAAATGAAGGTTTTTATTATTAAGGGAAAACAAAATCCAAAACTACAAAGCCCTGTGTGAATAAGTGTTTGCCCCCTAAACCTAATAACTGGTTGGGCCACCCTTAGCAGCAACAACTGCAATCAAGCGTTTTCGATAACTTGCCATGAGTCTGCCACAGCGCTGTGGAGGAATTTTGGCCCACTCATCTTTGAAAAATTGTTGTAAGTCAGCCACATTGGAAGGTTTTCGGGCATGAACTGCCTTTTTAAGGTCATGCCACACCATCTCAATTGGATTCAGGTCAGGACTTTGACTAGGCCACTCCAAAGTCTTCATTTTGTTTTTCCTTCAGCCATTCAGAAGTGGACTTGCTGGTGTGCTTTGGATCATTAAAATGCTTGATTGCAGTTGTTGCTGCTAAGGGTGGCCCAACCAGTTATTAGGTTTAGGGGGCAAACACTTTTTCACACAGGGCTATATAGTTTTGGATTTTGTTTTCCCTTAATAATAAAAACCTTCATTTAAAAACTGCATGATGTGTTTACTTGTGTTATCTTTGACTAATATATAAATTTGTTTGACGATCTGAAACATTACAGTGTGACAAACATGCAAAAAGATAAGAAATCAGTAAGGGGGCAAATACTTTTTCACACCACTGTATATATAAGTATCACATTCAACCTGTAATTTTTAATGCGACATTAACCATCAGCTCTACTGGACATAAAGCTTAAATCACACAATTTTTTTCGAATGTCTGCTGCATGAATGATATGTGCTAAATAAACTTCCCTTGCTAAACCCACTATTCTACTGTTGCTACTGAAACAACTACTGGTAAAAGTAAAAATGTAGAGATATGACTTTTTATGAAAATGTTTATTTCAGCATGCATTAAGAAGATTCTCAACATGTTTTATGGCATAAAGTCTGGCACCGTATTGCACATTTCTTTGCATTCTTCTGTATTTCACAATAATAACTGATTTGGTTGTCAAGCAGACCCCGTTTGATTTGTCAAATTCAAACTTTCACAACACGTTCATTTATCAACAAATCATTAATTTAGAAAAACACAATTTAATCATGTTTTGTAAGTCATAAGGCCACATAGCATATGGATGCTCCATTTACTTCAAAATTGTGTTGTGCAATAGATGGCTGGTGGTCACACACCTGTCTCCATAGACAGCTTCCTCTACACTTTCCCTTCCTGCCTAAGGTTCACCTGTTTGTGAAATGTGTATAAAATGAACATCATTTGGACTGTGTGACAAGAGAATCAAATATTATGTTATAGGCTCATTAAATGTAGAATGAATAGTGCAAAGTTAACATAAACCTCTACAAGTGATGTACTGTGCGCCATAGGCTACTAGGCATTCATTTAATGTCATGTACGCTAGTACATTAACTGCTATAACACTATAAATAGCATTTCAGATGTAGTCCATCTGATCATATGCGTTGACGTACAGAGCTCTAAGTTACTTCACCGTCAACATTCGTGCCTGGTTACGTACTAGCTAACTAAACTAACTAATAGCTTGTTTACCAACTATAACCAGGTTCCTTCTCTCAGCTTCATATCTATGAACTTCTTCCTGCTCTCGTCCTCCTCTAAAGAATTTTATGTCCATCTACGTGAGTCAATAGTGTTTGAGTCAAAATAAGATCCTCAGTTTATCCTTCAGTTCATTATCACTTTGTGGTTGCCATGGGGTACCCAACATATTACTCTTCACTTATCATATCTTATAATTTATACTTTGTAGCTATTCAACATGAAGTTTATATCTTTCTCATGTGATGTCAGAATCATATTTTTGTGTCAGTCTGCTTATCCTGTTCAGAATTCAAATACTGGGTGAGGGCTTTGTCCGCCAGGTGTTAGTGCAGCAGTTAAAGCCAAACAGAATATTCAGAAAACAGCCACATCAGAATTGTCACATCCATCCTGGAGCTGCTGACCTTTAGCACCATGAAATGCCACAGACAGCCAAGGGGAGTGCGGACCTTGAGTCCATATCAGTACACCATATTTTACTCTGTAAAACCAGCAGCACCAAACTCCACTCTCACTGTCAGTAGGTTGAGAACAGTATGAGTTAAATCATTGTTAGACTATTGTCAGCTTATCATTTAAGGTATGATTAGTAGAACAGTCCTCACACCAAACCTTGTTTGTTACTGTTATTGACACAATAGATTTTCCAGTTACCTAGCGTTGTGTGTTTCTCATAAAGATGGCTGGTTCAGCTTCAATATAATGAATTGTTCAGTTAAGTGTCTAAGTGGACATTTATGCCAAATTTGAAGAAATCCCCTCAGGTTGTTCGTGAGATACCACGTTCACGAAAATGATCCTGATCGAAAGTCAGGCAGACAACCTGAAAACATAAGGCCTCTGGCCACAGCTGTCTCCAGCATGGTCTCATAAAAATTAGACAGAATACAGGACAAGACTCACTGCTCTGATTTTTGTTTTCTTCCATTTTACTTTATTTTAGCTCTTGTAAACTCCTCAACAGTTAATAATGGTTAGCACAGATAATGGTACAGTTCATTTGGCCAGTTTGAAAAACGCACTCTGGTCTTGACATTCCTAAATTTCCAAAGTGAGCTGCAGGGAACAGCTGACTTGTGGTGGCTTTACATTTGGGAGCTATCAAGTTGTCCATCTTTTTATACAGTCTGTGGTTCAAACCTATGGGATTTCTGCACTTAAATTTGTCAGGTTGACACTAACATTCTAACTGAATAGTAATGTTACTCTCAGTCTGATGAATATGTATTATTATTATTGTTGTTGTGTTTGACAACTATGTCACTATATTTTTTGAGTTTTTTGTGTAGATTCTCTACCACAGAGTGGCAAAAAATAAATAAAACATTCACCTATAATGTAAAGCAAGCCTATATTACTTTTTCTCTGTTGCCAAAGGTAACAATTATGGGATAGTGATTAATGCTAAATGCTAAAACATAGTGTAACAGTAACACAAGTAGGCCTAGGGAACAGTGACAAAGTTTGCCAACTGACTAATGTCAGTAATACATTTATATAATCTACAGTTTAACAATATCTGTCATTTGGCCACACTGAGCTTATAACATTATCAAACATTAGCTGCACTACAGCAATATTTGTCTAAAATTTGTTAAGCACACAAGCCATGCACGCAAGTCTTTATCGCGATATCTATCTAAAGTTCGCTAACATAAGCTATGCTAAGCTTATGTAGCTCTATATAAAACTCTTTATACACTTTGCTAATATTTGTAAGTAAGACTGCAGGAACAAAAGCTCTGAGTGTATTGAACTGTGCAAGGGTGTGGTTTATTGATAATAAATATTACTTTTCATTTGCAATAAAATGAATGTGAGATTCTGTCTTTCAAAAAAAATTACATAACTTTATTGTAATAAAGAGGCTAAAAAGCAGTAGTAGTTGAGAGTGAAAGCTTTTGTTACTCTCTTCTCTCTACAGGAGTATGAGTTTGTGGTTCTGCCCAATGCCTACATGATCCACATGCCTCACGCGCCCAGCTTCGACATCACAAAGTTCCGTTCGAATAAACAGTACAGGGTCTGCCTCAAGACCCTGAAGGAGGAGTTTCAGCAGAACATGTCACGACGCTATGGCTTTGCCGCCCTTAAGTACATGACGGCAGAAAACAACAGCTAGCCACCACTGCAGACCCTCATAACCCCAGCCCTGAACTACTGACACACTGAAGTGGTTGGGGAGGGGGTGCACAATAAAAGGACCGTCCACATGAGGCCTATCAGGATACCTCGAGACTTCCCTCAGACTCAGAATATTTGACCTTCAGTGTTTGACTGCAAGAGTCCTTATGTCCATACTTTGTGCTCTGCTGTGGATAGAAGAGATGATCCATGAGATGTTCAGTTCTTTCAGAATGTGAAAGATGACACTGGAGGCGGCTGGACCTGGGCCCCAGCTGTGGAATCTGGCAGACAACAGGCAAAGCAAAGCAGACATTCGATGCCTTGGCAGAGCTGACAGTGTTGTGGGCTATATGTAACATTATGTATGCATGTACATGCGTGTGTGTACATGCGGATAGATGAGAAGTGTGAAAGTGTGTGTTTGTTCTTCCAGGACAGCGCTTAGCAAAAGGCTTAAGGAGAGCTAAAGATGTAAAGCAATGCAGGCTTACATTGCGTTTCCACACTGCAAAGAAGAATGCCTTCCAGTGCCATGAAGTCACACAAAGCAGTGGCAGTTTGATTGACAGCACACCCTGATGCAAATCGTTAGCAGGCGGCAAGATAAGACAAAGTGGTAAACATGTCCAAACAGATTTCCAAAATCTCATTGTGGCGAGTGACATGCGCTCAGATATTGAGACGAGCAGCCATTCATCAGCTGCTGCTTACTTTGTAACATTGCTGATACAGATCAGAGTAAATCCTCCTTCTCATATGACAAGGGAAGTTAAATGCAAAGACTGGAGATCGTCCACACGGATGATATTCAGGGTATCTCCACTTTAGCCTGTGCAAGCTGCTAGTGAATGTTTGCAGTGTTTTGTTATGATAACAGAATCTGACAGCAGCTGGTGCAGTGGGTTTTTTTTCTGTATTTTACATTGGTGCTAATGCACCCTGCACGCACACCTGTTGGAAGTCCTGTCGGTATGTGAGGCTGCCACTCCACCACACTGAGCAGCCCGATGCGAAGCATCAGTCACTGAGCTCACTGTTTACTGTTCTTTCCAACAACCAGGATTATTTATCAGTGTGTTTACAGTTTGAACGGGTAGAGTAGGAAGGGACAGTGAAACCAGGAGGATATGAGGAGGTGAAATTATGTGAAAATGAGCCACTTACAGAAAAGAGAGAGTCACAATCACTTTTTCTGTCTATCACTTACTCTTTCTTTCTCACTCTGGCCTTTAGTTTAAAGACATTATAGTGGCAGCCAGTAACACTGTAATGATATATGTGAGCAACACTACAGTTTGTAGTCTGGTTGTGGGAATATGTGCTAACACCTGAGAAGCAACAAGCTAAGAATGTGCATTTTCAGTGCATTAGTGTTTCCATGGCTGACTAGAACATCCACCTGGCCTTAAATGGGAAAAAAGGAGACTGAAAAGTTTCTTCCCAGGTATCTGGCGAGACTCTAGACAAGATGCGGAAACTGACAGCCATGATCATGCTGAAATTGTTTTCATCCTTCTGCTTCAGGATGCTGGGTGGAAAGTTGCCTAATTTCACCTGCCGTTATCACAGGTTGGTAGAACCTGTGGAGTTAGTTTCCACACATCCATTACTGATGTACTGTAGGTAGACTGGAGATGAGGATGCATTTACACATGTTAAAAAACTTGCTAGAGTGTGTCTCAAAAACCTCCTCCAGAAAGGATCCAGTGCAGTCACACACTGAGAAATAGAATCCAGACAAAAGAAATCACACAATTTCACATAAATCACATGATTCATTTGAAAACAATCACATAAGTTGACCTTGACTTGATATTGTTAAATATGCTACTTGACAGTGTAGGAGACTTTTCCTTATTGTTAAGATGCCATAACAAGTGTTTCCACTCAGGCTTCTGTCCAGAACCTCATATACAGTACAGGCTGATTATCCCAATAAAGTTTGGATATACTGCAATAAGGTACATGATATGAGTAGCTTATGTAGTTTATCAGACGGATAATCTACACAGCTTTAAAGAAAACTTCTCAGTCTGCTTTGCACATATTGCCACTGGTCTTTCTTGCACTACATACTGTGGTGAAACTAGAGGCCTCTCTCTCTCTCTCTCTCTCTCTCTCTCTCTCTCTTCCCCTCCCTCTCCAGAGGGAAGCTGTAGGAGGGCTCCGTGCAGTCATGCAGGTGTCTGCGTAAGTAAATAAGCTGTCTCTGATTGTACATGTCTGTCCAATATGCAGGTGTAGGTGAGTGTGCGTGAGAAAACTGACTGTTCTGAGAGTGTGTGTGTGTGTGTGTGTGTGTGTGTGTGTGTGTGTGGCTTTGCAGGGCGGTGAGGAGCTGCAGTGTGTAAGTAGGACAGTGCTGACTGACACCTGCTGCTGTTGATTGCTACCTGAATAAAAGCAAAGAGTCAAACACTCTGTTACATTGTTTCTTTTTGAATGAATATAAATTTAGCATCATGAACCCAAAGTAAAGAGGTCTTTGTGAAAGCACTCTGTCACACCTCCCACATACAGCAGAGTAGTGCGCCTTAATGTTGTTAGACTGGCAGGAATTACCAGAGCTTACCATCTTTTAGGGTTAGTGGGACACATTTTACACATCAGTCTCAGCATCCTATTAAAAAAAGAAGACCACCAGTCTGTCTCTCTGGAGCTGAGAAAATAACCCATATGACATCATCAGTGTTATCTACATTTTGGGTTGTGGACTACACATTTATAATGGAATACCATTATAAATCAGTTGCCAGTGACACATTGAAAACTTATGGAGCTCATGTATGGGATAGAAAATTTGATCAGATTAAAAAAACATTTATATAGTTATGTTCAGGCTGCAAGCATCCTGGGCCTGCATCTGGCAAGGCCCCATGTCCGCAGTGTCCCCACCTTGTCCTGCTGCCAGGGATCATGTGAGCACTGGGTCAGCCCCCTCTAAGCTACATGGGAGCCCTTACCTCTGCTGGCAAGGAAAACAGCTTGCTGGGCTGCTGCCTGTCGTGTGGTGGTCTCCTGGTCCTCGGCACGCTGACCATGCCGGCACTTATTCTTTCCTTAACTCCTCTCATATGAGCCCTTGCCAACTCGTCTGGTCACAGTGCACACCAACCAGGAATGTAATGTGGGCATGGGCAAGCCCCTGGTTGGCCCTGGTGGTGCAGATGACCTTCCGGACCGGTCATTCCAGTGTAGCAGTTGGGCACAGCCCTTCTCTACCTGCAGTGTGGAGCACCACAGCATCCAAACCCAGGCAGGGTGTAGTCCCAGGCACATCCACCACAGCCTCCCACTCCGTCAGCAGGTCAAGTCTAATGATCCAATGATGTATAGATTTTGAACGTAGGCCACTCTGAACCAATGCTCAATGGTGTGGCCAGCAGCAGCCACTTTGAGCGTCCTCTCGCCCCACATCTTCACATTCTCCCAATGACTGTGGTGAAGTGGCCCTCCACTTCTGGGGTCTTGGCCTTTCTGTCCCCAGCATCGTTCCCAGGTGCATCAGGAAGATGGTGGACCCCGTGTGCACTAAGGTGTGGCATTTGGTGCCTTTCAACTCGTAGTCCAGGTATATTCCGTGTGTCCAGCCCAGACGGCCAACCCACAGCTGCAACAGGTTGAGAGTAGCAGAATTGTTCAAGGGTGCTGGTCATCGCGATATCAGTGCTGGGTGATGGCATGCAATCCATGCATGCCATGCCGTCCTATCTCCCCACAGCAATAGCACTCCTTAGTGTCGTGTAGATGCTCTCCTGTTCCCTTGCGGTGAGGGTGCAGCAGCAGCGACCTGGTAGGCTGCTTTTTCCCCTGTGTTCACCTACCACACTCAGTGTGGCATCCTGGGGGAACACAGCACATGCTTGGCCTACTGTGTCTCAGCCAGGGCTGCCTCCAGGGTATACAGAGTGTTCTTGGATGTGATGTTGGAGTTGCTCTGGACAGAGTCCTTGTACATAGGCCTGGAGAGCAAGCTCTTCCCGTGCCGAGCTGTTGAAGGTTGAATATCCACGCTGAGTAAAGACGTGGATGTCAGTGGCATAGGCACCCAGGCTGTCCCCTTTTTTGTGACATTGGATGTGCAACTTAATCTAGGTGTTGTCAGTGTAGACGCATTAGCCAAACCTGTGCTGCATTGATAGCTGGCCAGTTCCTTAGGCACGAGGTTAGTGAGGACCTGCAGAGTTTTGCCTTCCAGGGTGAGGACAACCTGGGTGGCTATCTCTTCTGTCAACCAGGCGTTAAAGCAGGCTGCTACCTGCGCTTGGATGAGGTACATCTCTAGTGGCTCTTCCTCATTGTAGAATGGTAGCTTCAGCACCCCTCACCAGCCGGGCCCTGGCTCCATACTGTGGTCTGATCAAAGCTGTGGTGATGACGCTCCAGTGCAGCTCCGACATCCTGCCTGGCAGCCCTCAATGGTTCCGTCAGCGGTGTCATTTTGGCAGGCTCTTGCTGAGACCAGTGTGGCAGGGAATCTTGGTGCATCTACTAGGACACCTGCTCTGGTTTGTAGCATTCCAGGTGGACAATAAGTTTGTTGATCTGAGATGTTACTCTCTCTAGAGATCCCACTTCTGACAACAGAGTGAGTAAGGGTGTTGAAAGAGAAGCATACATTTAATTAACAAATGGTTGAATTGTCCACACAAAAAAAGACACCAAGCCTAAACTGCGTTTTGTATGAAAAAGCAATATTTGCTTTTATATAATTGTAATTACAAGTGTCAAATAACATCCAGTTTAAAATAGATTGAAATGAACACATTTACAGTAGGACAGGTGTTGTCAGTGAAGGGGTATGTGAGCTCATCTGACAGAACTGCAAGATAACGAAAAGAGATTTCCTCATTCTTTCTTCAATGCACAAATAAATGGATACTTACTCAGTGCACCATCTCAGAGCAAGGACTGTGTTTGACTTTATAACCAATGAAGTACTTTATAGACTACATCCCAGGACATCATTAAGAAGGTACAGTTAAAATAAAGTCTTACCAAATTAGCATGATATTTTAGGTGATTTAAAGCCTCAGATCTATTCTATGTAGATAAAGAAAATCCACTATCCTGTGGATTTAATTTATATTTGTTTGTTTGTTTTTTTGTTTGTTTTTTTTCAGCATAACTCTGGTAAACTTCATATGCTACGCTGCCACAACATTTATTATTATTACACTTATAATTTCAAAATCATATGAAAATAGTATCAAAGGACTTTTTAATGGCTGTATCAAGTAGTCATATTTCTTCAGACAGTCACTAAGTGAACACTACGGTTTTGATTAGTATTAGTATTTATTTTTGTTGTCTGTAGCCCTGCTGTTGGGCTATGTGAGGCTGAAGGGACAGTGGGCTGACTTGATTTGAAATTAAGTGAGAGCGAGTAGAGGAGAGCACCCAGTTTATCAGCTCCCTGGTGTCTGACTGTCCCCGGTCGACTCATTCCTTAACTTCCCTTTAATGAAGGTCCCACAACACCATTTCTCTTATCGGATAGGCTATTAAAAGTTTAAGGAGAACTGCTCATTAATTCAATCTAAAATTTAATGCATGGATTTCAGTAGACTGTTAGATACTAAATTCAGAGGATTAGAGCAAGTTTACAGTGACGATACTGAAAGAGTTATCTGCAGCTGCAGCTGTGTTTCTTTAATGTAACTGTACCCACTGACAAGAAAACTGGAGCTTCATAAGAAAAAGCTCCATTTTGGCCAGAGGTAAGCTGTCACCCTGCCATGATAGACCTTGTACTGTTCTTACACATTAAGAACAAATGATTATGAGTCTTATTCCACACTGTAGTTCAGCCTCATTTAAGGATAAGGATAATTTCACTTTGTTCTACCAGCTGTTACAAAGTTACGGTGCTTACTGTCACACATCAGTGTCCGTTTCCTGTTACCCACATCCCCCAAATTAGAGTTCTGCACAGGCTAAAAAAACTTCACCTAACTAGACAAGACTGGTACTGCCAAGTTTGATATCCAACCTTGACATAAAACTTTAAGATAGGCTTTATTTATGCTATATTTAATCCATACCTGACGGTTATCTCATCAAGTTAACGAAACACATTGGTTACATTTTCAATATTTATGTGTCATATTTGGTCAAATGTGGGACCTCCCACACCTGAGCCATGTTATAATTTATATGATATTGTTATATCAGCACATGCCGTTTCTTCATGAACTCCAAAATCACCCAACAAAAATCAGGAAAGAGCCATGCTCAAAATCTAAAAACAAATAAATAAATACAATTTAAAAAATACAAAACATCATCCATGAACTACACTACAAGGTTTATCACTACCTTTTTTTTTATTCCGTATCATCTGATTGCAGCTTTGTAAAAACCAGAGTAACTGTTGAGATCTCAGAACATGTGACATCAACACTGCTAAAAAGTCAGCCAGTCAATAAACATGAGCAGTCACATGATCAGACAGGTTTGAAGCAGATGCCCAGACTTTACAAACTGTTTTGGAAGAAAAACAAAGCTGAACTATAAAATGAGAAAGAGCTGTCAGCTGGAAACATCCATCATAGTTTACACTTCCTGTTTCAACATAGACTCAGTGTACAGTACTTAATGAGGCTGTACATGCAGAGTTTTGCCACGCAGTGGGAGATCATTAGTAATATTTCAGGGGTGCCCATTCAGTTTGGTTCCATCTGAGGTGCAAGAAGCTTGTTAGTGAGCTTAGAAAGTACCTCTACTAAGCAGTACAAATCAGATATGTATAATATTTAAATCATAAGGTCAAAGGAAGAAACATCGGGCTAAATCAAAGACAAAACGGGGGGATTTGGGGTGTGTACAACCTAGGCCAAAAGACAAGAGGAAGAGGCTTCACACTCCCAAACCAACAGTGTATTTTAAATTGTCACACATCAGCACAGGGGGAAAATACATAGACAGGTGGGACTGAGTGTTCTCAGGCAAATCTGAGGCTGCCACTGATCACAGGTACTGTCGCTGATAAGTTGATTAACACTCCACCATGAAACTGAAGGGCTGTTGCACACTGAAAAAAGCATAGCCGAAACATCTGTGCATTTTTTTAACCTTGTGCTGATGTGCAACACTGAACTAAATAATAATCACTTTTGTTTGGCCAAGTATGTTACACGCAATGAATTTGTCTCCGGTACAGAATCGAGGCAGCCATCTGCAGCGTCAACTCACACCGATGGCTCTAACCATCAGGGACAACTTTGGGGTTCAGTGTCTTGCCCAAGGACACTTCGACATGTGGACTGCAGGCACAGTGATTTGAACCTACAACCCTCCAGTTTGGCGATAATGAGTGTTATTAAACAGTTCAGTGTAATTAAAAGCAAGAAACCAATTGATCTGAGCATGTCAACAATGTGAAAGATTAGGAAAGAGGTCCTAAAGAACA